TCCACCTAAATCTGTGAAGAGTACTTGAGCTCGGCATGACATACTAATTTCAAGCCCGTAGCTAGTGGTATCGATTCTTCAGAAGGGGGAAGGAAGGTCACTTATTTACAAGCACCGATTTTCAATTTTATTCTTTCTAAAAGACTTCCTACCATTCAAATACAGGGTGGGCCTGGGCCCCTAACCGCCGTATTTATGAACCGACCTTAACTTATGGTGGTAAGGATACTTATGAGAAGACGAAAAAAGTGTAAGTATTGGAAAAGTACAAGGTGCATTTCAGGAACCTTTCTTATCCTGTCATAAGGGCACCTCATTAAAGGTATCCTTAACTCGTTAAGTATAAGCCCTGGTTGTGAGATTAGGTGAATGTTGGCTACCAAATCATTACGTAAAGCAGCAATAAATTAGCTTTACTGCAAGTTTTAAACAACAATATGCACAAAAGCAGCCAAACGCAAACAGCAGAAGTGTTTGTTTAGGTACTGGCAGTTTTCAGTAAAATACACATTTTTGGTCTAGCCACAATTCTGCAACTCCCGTCGATGCAGTTTCTTGTTGTTGTTGTTATTTGACATATTGTACGTTATCAATCATTCGGTGGTGTTCTCGGGCTCGCTACAGCGTTAGCTGTTTTTTTTTTCACTTTTTTTAATTTTACTACATTTATAAATTATTTTGAACAGCATTAAAGCTTTTTTATGAAATTGAATTTATTGTGGAACGGTGCACTGAAGTGAACTTTACCGACAATGTAGCTACGTCCTGATGAATTTTGTGAACAAGTACCAAGATGGATGCCGTGTGCCTTCAGAGAAAACGAAAAACATGGAAGCAGCTCATGATAGCATTCAACAATCCCCACACTTTAATTCCGTGAACAGCCGTCCAAACAACTAGAAAAGTATTTGCACCACTTAGAGAACTTTATCACTACGGTGAGAACTGTTTTCAATCATAACAGGTTTTCAACCGCTCGACTGAATACTCGTGACATGGTATTGACAAGGTCGTTGCTTCCAAATCAGAACGTGCCAACTCCATAAAAGCGCGATTTAATGTGCAGTTTCCTGAGACATAACACATAGAACCCACAACCATGGATATTTTTCGGCGGAAACAGCACAGCGAGCAGATTCTTCACGGCACTTTTTTTGAAGTGAGGGCGGCACGAAAATTTCTTCTTGTCATAGGTCTCAACCATGTTCCACCCATCGTTTAGGACTCGCCACGGCGGTGATGTGTACTCGTATGCTGTGCCGTTCGATATTTACTATTACCACATAACAAACAAAATACGCAAGTTATCGTCCCCCGTCATGTTGTTTCAGGAAGCTTTAAGGTAGGTCATAGGCCACCTTAACTGTACCTTACTTAGGTACTAGGAAAGTTCCGCGATAAGTACAAGGTAGGTTCTTGAAACGCGTCAAGTGCAGGCTTATGGCTAAGCTTGACTCAAGTCATAAAGATAAGGTTAAGTTAGGTTTGTGAATATGGGGATAAGGCTCTGGCTGTGGACCTGCTTCAATAAACAAATTTATCTGCTTTGGGGCACCAGCAGTATTAGCGAGTGTGGTTTTAAGTTTTCATAGTAATGACATAGAAAATGTATGGCTTGGCAAATCTTGCAGAGTTGTTTCTGCTGCTTCATAGCAACATCTTCAATTTAGGGAGCTTGAGTTCTTGAAAGACGAAACTTCCCCCCACTTCCTTGTTCTGGTGGTGTGGGTTGTTTTTCAGTTGCGTATATGCAGGTACTGTTCTATGCCAGGGTAGGAGTTCAGCGGCTCCTTTGATGTAGCTGCCATTACAAAAAACATTGGGAAAACAGTGTTAAGTTTATCATTATCGTGCAACCTGAACTACCCTGGCATGCAAGGCACCCTTAGCATTGTACTAACCTAACATTTGAACTAAGTATAAAAATGACAGCATACCATATTTACTCACACAATGGGCGCACCCCTAATATTTAGTCAGCTTTACTAAAAAGATTTATTAAAAAAATATTTTGCACTTCCCGACCCATCTTTAGTGCATTCTCGGCGCACGCATGAAGTAACTTAGGACCTTTTAATGCCTTGGACGGGTGTGCCCCTCACCGAACAGGTTAGTGGAGTCATGCATACAACGGGCTGCGAGTGCGAAGTTCCTTCTTGCAAAGGCTTCGCCTGAACGACGGTCCCTAGAATACTATACCCTAACAGAGATGGCTTACCGAAACACCCACACCGGCTCTTCAGAACTGCTCGAGTTTTTGCCTCTATATATTGCGCTATCTTTTTTACCGTGAGAAGGCAGACTTGCAACACGGACAGACTATTTTTTGCATCGAAGAGATTTCTTTTTTCTTTTTTTATTGTTGAGAATGAAGATTTCCTTACACCTTCTTCGTCTAAATTCTTAGCTCCAATTTGAAAAATAATAGTCTATTCTACCTTCCTTGGACTAGAGGGTGATGCTGCAGGCTTAAAGATAATATTATTTGTTGGGGTTGGGGATCTTAAAAGTCAGGCTTATTTAGGCAGCTTGTACCTATTTTTAGCCACAGCTAAAAGTCAGTTCCAATGTTCTTAATGCATCGAATATACATTTGAAATATAGAATGCTTATGCATGGTCACCTCAAATTCAGAATCAGGGCTGTAGTGTTTGCTTGTTGACCAAGGGCAGCAATTGATGCAGTCTGTACTTATTGTAGTGCTAGTATAGACACTGATTACTGGCCGAGTTGCCTTTTTAGTAAAGTTGACACGAATCATCGTTGTATTCCGTTTGACACCAGCGTTTCATTTAACAATTACTATTTAGCTGAAATTGTCAGCCTAACATTTTTTCCACTGGCACATACATTTACGTGTATATGCTGACAATGGCCTCTCCTGCTTTATCTTGAACTTCATGGCTATTTGAAAAGTGCGGAAGCATTGATGAGAGAATTGAAACACTGCACCTGTTGCTGAAATCACGAGGAAGCTGACAATGACAAACGCAGTGTGGCTGAAAAATTGAGCTCAACAAACCAGCCTGCTGTACAAAAAAAAGACTGTTTCAGACACGCTGCCAGCATCAACAGACCCATGTGGACCTCACCGGACATGTGACCAACACCACAAGTCACGGGACCTGCGAGTCACCCCACACCAGCAGTCTCGAAAAGAGCAGCGGCCATGTTTGGCCTCCAGGATGAGCAGCTGTCCGCCAGCCTGCCCTGCTGAATAATAAAGGCCAGTTTTCAGCTGCAGCCCTGCAGGCCCAAGCAGAGAACCTGGTTCCGGGGCAGCCACACAGTAGCTGTTCTGTTGGAGTGATTCCGATATACGTCTATTCCTATAAGGCTTTAATTGTGCACAGGAGTAACTAAAGTGGAGAAAAAGGCTGCGCTGCAAAGTTGAAGACGAAAAACTGGACTGACACAGCGAAGGCGTGTCTAGCAACTGAAGTTTACTGAAACGAATAGCCAAAAAGGGGGGTGGAGTAACATACAATGCGTGGCCGCTGGAAGCAAACCACGAATGATCCTACCGAAATGCTGTCTATGTCGAAATAGACGTGCTTTTTATCAAACTCTTATTTTTTGCTTATCTTATTCGTCACGATCTGTAAACATGCCACTTGTCTATATGAAAGTGCTGTTGAGGGTATGCGCCTAACTTCCCTTGTATGTTACTCATCCCCCCTTTTTTGGCTATCTGTTTCAATAAACTTCAGTTGTTAGATGCGCTTTCCCTGAGTTAGTCCAGTTTTTCGTCCTCAATTTTGCAGCGCAGCCTTTTCCTGCAGTATGTTTCAACTAGCCCTACACAATCTTTTCTAATTAAAGGGTACACAGTCTCAATGTCTTAATGTGAAGGCCCTTGATGACAGTATTTGTAGCCTATGATGGGTAAAAGATAAATCCCTGTGATAGCTCTGGTGTGAATTAGGTGCATAAAATAATATAGAAGAGGTGAGCATGGTTTTTTGGGAATTGTCCTATCTTATTATCATGCTTGTGGGCCTTGTGTACCGGAGTTTGCAAATGCCACTGTGTAATTCTAGAAAGTAGTCTATTGGTCGTGAGGTCAAGCAGAGTCATCGCCTAGCGACAACTGGCCGAAACGGGGACGTATGGATTGCTCCTTGGCTCGTCTGCTAGCCACGTCGTGTACCTATGTGCACGTGGGTCATGCACGTTCTAAATGTGCGGTTTGTTCGGTCATGTCAGCGCGAGTGTAACTGTTTCTACGTATGCGTGAAATGACGTACAAAATCTTGCTCGGCTGCTAATGCATTGTAATAGGATCGGCGAGTGCAACCTTCCATAATGCTGTTTATTATCGTCAGACCCTCCGCATTCAGCATAATAATTTCAGAGTGAGTACCGCTTTCTGTTTGAAGCACATCACAAAATGCTCTTTGCATCCCAAACAAGAGGACTATTAAATGATGTGTGAATGCAGTGTTTTATAGCGACTCGGCTGTAAAAAAAAGAACACCACAGGATTAAGGCCATGCGCTTTTGCGCATTTGGTAGGTGTAGAATTACGGCATTGTAGTTTATCGATTATGCGAGGCGGCTTAGTTCTGTTTATCTAGCCCTATAGAAATAGTACTATCACTTACACTGTGACACATGGGTATTTGAACTATATTTGAAGTAGAGTTACCGTACGCAACCGTGTGCTTAAAGTTAAAAACGCTTTAAAGAGCCGAGACAATAAAAATTTATTCAGGCAGCATGGCTTACATATAATGTCGCATAAATTCACTGGAGAATTCATCTTTTTTTTACATTGTCTTCAGCGTTCGTTTGGCATTGTTGGTGACCGGCGGAAGGCAGTGGTCATTTGTCGTCTGAAAAAAAAAAACATGCCTGTCCCCTTAACCAGGCCTTTGTTGTAGCACTGTCTTGCACGTATTCCATCGATGAAAGCTAGGTTTTTATGTTTTTACTGGTGCAAGAACATGTGCGTACACGTGGTAAATGCTGTGTAGTGCAAAGTGCCGTCAGCCACTAAGCTTTCTTGTCTAGACATATCGACAGTCTCACATTTCATGATGAACAGAATGAGAGAAAAAATCATGTGTATAAGTTGCGAATGATGGTATTGAAGTAATCGCACAGGTAGGCGGGCTTTCTAAGATGTTTCTTTCTTTCTCTTTTTTTATAATATGCAGATGACAAAGATGTAAATAAGTACAGTCACGCTACAGCAGTCTGTCGTAGGCGGAACACAAGCTAACCACGTACAAACAACACAGCTAAAACGTGATTTAGTGCGAAAGCGTGAAAAGTCACCCAGGGCGAGCATCTCTACGAAAGGCAGAATGCGCTTTACTCGCTGGTAATCTTAACGTTCCATAGATGGCGTGCACCGATATAGTAGAGAAGAGCATAGATATTAAGGGTAAACTGTAGTCGACACATTTTATCCAGCGACGGTTGGCTCAAACCGCACGCAACAAAGCACCACTGAGTATTTGTACACGCGCCGCCGACCGCCTATCCACTCTTGTGAGAGGACGGTGCGGCCACCTATAGCCCGCTCTCGCCGCGAATATAACGTTTTCAAAGAGAGAAGGCGTGTAGCTTTGGACCAGCGCATTTTTGTCACTCTTTCTCTTCACCACTTGTTTGGCCATCGTTACTGACGCAGATTGTTGCGTTTTGCATGTGCTGCGCATGAGAGGTCATTTTGTTTCCTATTTTTTATGCGCAAAAGCAGTTGTGCTGCGGAATATCGAATTATAAAAGAACAGATCAACAGGCTGCTACGGCACTGTGTTTGGCTACGACAACAACTATCGAAAGCACAAAAAGATGGCTGCCAAGACATGCCAGGCGCATCTTCCTTCTAAATGACATTACTTAGGTCATAGGCCTCATTCTACAACAATATTTTATCGTATGTGGTTTCTATATGTCCTTGTGGCCGTTTCTTCATTACACCAGTTTGTTGCAGTTCTGGGGGTAAGGCGGGGGGGGTGCTGGCAGACCTCATTATCTACAGCAATGAGAAGCACTGTGAAAGCTGATGGTTATTGCAGGAAATGTATCGCGTAGAATTCTTCTGTTTCAGCATCAACATCCTTAGTTTCTATGCAACAACACATGAGTTACAATGCCTGAGGCTACCAAAATCTAAGTGCGTGTAATTTCAAGATTCTCGAACGTGCACATTCCAAGCTACATGGCAGGAAGACCAGTATCAAATGTGTTCTTTGGCTCAGCAGTGTACCACCAGCATTTCTTTTGTGGCACGTCATTTCTCGGTTTGTCAATTTCGCGACGATAACTGAGGCGGTTTTATCACAACCATTTTTTCATGCGGAAGCCTATGTGTTCTGAATAATTGACCCACAATCGCGAAAGCCGGGTGATTACCAGAACACGTACATTTGTTGTGATTTTTCTTTAAATAATTTTTTCAAACGACAACCATTTTATCGAAAATAGACACACTTTTGGCATATCGCCCGTGGCGTCAAGCTGCGCTGAAATGAACTTACGCTAAACGCGCCGTGCTTCCAGATGTACAAGACGTTTATTTTCACTTTCTCTTTGTGTTGCTTTTACTAGGGATTTCAAACTCATTCGTCATACACCCGTTCGTTAACCAGTGCAGTGATTAAACACAAGCTTGACTACAACGACCCGAATCAGCACACAAATCAGTGTTTGTGCTTTCAATGTTTTATAAGCTTTGTATTGCGACATTCTGAGCGGACCAAATAATCTGATAGTGATTGTGGAATTACATTAAACCTAAAGAGTGAAGAGAAAGAAACAAGAGAGTCATTTGAAATACTGATGCACACCTTAAGTGCCGCTGGACAATGGCGTATGTATTCGCTCGTCTTTACGTTTCACCCGTTACTTTTACAGTTGTCTGGAATTTTAATGCTAGGGCTTACTGTACGTACGAAGTCCATGCCTGTTAAAGAGCACCAGATGCTCATAGTTTTGAAAGCTCCACTTTCACTAAGGCTTCATATTGGTGTTTCGGCATGTAATCTCAAAAATTATTATTCTTTTTCTCATAAATGTGTGCACTATGGCAGGACTGCAGTGTGATTCATGCATGTCTGATTTTCTTTTCCCCCTAGTGTCAGCGACATTAGTCCACCAGTCAGAGCAATAGAGCTTGCGTTCTGGCCAGTGGATGGCATTTACAATTGATCAACATTAGCAACAGTGGGACATCATGTATATATGCATGAAATATTTAGTGATGCACCAGAAAATGTTGTCCTTGAAGAAACCAGCTGGCTGCATTACAGATGAAGCTACTGGTTAGTATGCGCATGTTTGCTTAACGAAACAATTTACAAGAAACGGTGTCTCGATGCATATGTGAGCAAGTCACATTCCTCGAGTTTTTAAGTAAGGACCGCAACCATTTGGGCCCCAAAATTTTTTTATTTTGTTGACTGAGGGTCATGCAGGATCGTACAATATTGCCAAAAAGGCAAGATGTCTAGAGATGAATAATTATGAAACGCTGATAATCGTCTGCTGCATAATTATGGCCTCATTTTCACTTTTCTACATGTGTCCACAGGTTGTGGAACTCCAGCCGGGGAGCTTCATCTTTGTCGAGCAGTGGGCACTGGATACTGCCAGATTTCTGCGAAGACACCGACTGCTTTGGCCCGGGGGCTCCTCACAACGATGTTCAACAGACATGCCATTTTGACCTGCCTAATGAAGATTAAGAAGGTGAAAGGGATCCACAAGCCACTGGCCAACCATCCACCTCTTCTCGCTGCTGGCATTGATGCCATTTTATGTAAACATCAGTTTCTGCTAACGTGAATCTCCATTATCTGAACTTGCTATGTACTTTAAGGTATTATTTATGCTTGATTGAAGTAATACCATTTCAACTCCATAAGCAAGAATTTTTCGTTGTAGGGTGTTTGACCGTATGCACATGTTCAAAGTGTTTTGCTAGAACCAAATATTATTTGTTTATATTCAGGCCCTGTATTTAATATTAGAGCCTATTGCAATAAATTTAACAGAGCTCCTTTGCGGGGCTTATCTAATGAAGTTGTGTACACATTATATTACATGTTAATCTGTTCGATTTTCCATTTACAGCATTCACGAAAAGCACGGCCATAGCGAAAGGCTGGGAGTGTTCATAGAAACTCCTTGTGCCATCGATGGGCACGAAGCTCGCCGAGCTGTGAGCCGACAAAAAATTGTGCAGCCCTAAAATAAATAAAGTTAGTGATTTTTGAACCATTATGCGTTTGTGAATTTTGTACGTATAGAAAAGGAACATGCCCATGCATGCATGGTGCTATCATATGCACATCGCCATGCAGCCCTCGTGATGCACGCATAAGCCATTGAACTTGGCTGTATTGTGCTTATAAATCCTGCCTGCTGCTGTCCCTCTAGTACTTGCTGCAGCTGTTCAATTGCTGGGGCTCTTGTCTAATATCTTATACTCACCTGATTTTATTTGCAAATACTCACCTACAGTACAAGCAGATATATATATATATATATATATATATATATATATATATATATTCTGTTTTCTGTTTTATTTTACTACCCAATCAATTGTGCCATGCATGACATACCCAACAACAACCCTGTGCACAGCCGGGAGGCCCCCACGCAACGCGTAATCCAGAAGCGGGCAAGGAATTCGCATTGCGCCCGCTTACCAGCCTCTGCCGCACTACGCGGCACCCCTCTTTATACGACCAAACGTTGACAGGGCGCCGAGTAGTTAAAGGCTTAAAACTTCCTAAAATGCCCGCTTACCAGCCTCTGCCGCAATACGCGGTACCCCTATTTCTACGACGAAATGTTGACGAGGCTCCGAGTAGTTAAAGGCTAAGAACTTCCTAAAAAAGCTCTTTTTTTGCCCTACACCGAACCGCCAGTGCCGAACCGCCCTGCACCGTATGATCGGGAAGAATACGTTTGTGAAAGGAAGCATACACAAGACCACTGACACTGACATCAGAAAGGTGAAGGAGAGGAAGGGGAGAGAGATGAAGGGGGAAGTGGAAGGAAGAGTGGAAGGGGGGCGCCCGAGGGGAGTCCACCTTATATTATTTTTTTTCTTTTTTACTGTCTTTTTCCTCTTTCCTTTCACTCTGATCAGAGATTGTATAAAGCTGAGCACCAACAAACTGTACCTTTACTCCTGATGAAGGCCAGACTCTAGGCCGAAACGTCGAAATAAACCACGTTGTGACCGCTCACGGAGGATCTACATATATATATATTTTTATATATATATATATATATATATATATATATATATTGCCACTATTGATGAACGAGCCGCTGTGGCTCATACCAGTTTTGGGGCTACGAAGAAGAAGAGAACGTTTTGGTTGCTCCGGTTCGGGTGAACTCCTGGCTGCAGATCTTGTTTTTGCTCGCGACATTACTGGTGGAGACGCTGGGTACGTGTACTTCGGCTGTGTCGGCCGTCGTAGAGACAGCTACATCTCCCAGAGCAAGAAGCAGCCGCCGCCTGCGTGGGTTACCCCCTGAATTTGGTCCCTTGACATCGACACCCAGAAAGATGGCAACTCCGATGACAAGCCAGGCGGTCCAAATCAGTGATGCCCATGGTTCTCTTCTCGCCCATGTTTTTCATGCACCACAGACACCAAAGCTGTTCCATGGAGATATCTTCGAGGATGTTGATGACTGGCTCGACCACTTTGATCGGGTTGCCTGTATCAACGAATGGGACGATGTTCGCATGCTGCGCAGAGTTTACTTTTACTTGGAGGATTCTGCGAAGACGTGGTACGAGAACCACGAGGGCTCCTTTGCAACCTTGCAAGAGTTTAGCCGTCAGCTCCGTGACGCCTTTCGGAACACCGAGAGGAAGGAGAGGGCCGAACAAGCCATATCCTGCAGACACCAGCGGCCGAACGAACGAGTATCCATGTTTGTCGAGGACATGCTTCGGCTCTTCAATCGCGCGGACCCCGCCATGCCCGAGGAAAAGAAGGTGAGGCACTTGATGCGCGGAGTAAAAGAACAGCTTTTCGTTGGGCTCGTGCGCAATCCACCAACGACAGTCACCCAGTTCATCAGTGAGGTGAACACAATGGAACGTACGCTGCAGCAGCGGTCATCACAATACGAACGCCAGATCCCGGCCACCGCATGCTCTATCGGCTCTTACAGCGAGAAACAGGCCCTCGCAGACTTCATTCGAAGTATTGTTCGGGACGAACTGCGACAGCTTCAGGCGGTGGGATCCCATCAACCTGTGTCTGCCCTCGCGGGTGTAATCAGACAAGAAGTCCGGCAGGCCGTCACACCCCTGACCCCAATCACACCACCGATTCCCGAGGCGCCAGTCCTTACATACGCAGCGGCATTGCGATCCCCTGCGCCACCGGCTACAGATCCTGCTATGCGGCCCAAGTACCAGGCTATGCAGTCATTCCACGCCACTGCTTCGAGCCCGCCTCACGGCTCAAGGTTCCCGAGCACACCCACCTATCTGCAGCCAGGAGTTCACCCGAACCGGAGCAACCAAAACGTTCTCTTCTTCTTCGTAGCCCCAAAACGGGTATGAGCCACAGTGGCTCGTTCATCAATGGTGACAATATATATATATATATATATATATATATATATATATATATATATATATATATATATATATAAATATATATATATATATATATATATATATATATATATATATATATATGCTGGTTTTGCAATGTCACGCGACACTGCAAGACCAGCATTTCCTACTCCCAAGCACACAGATTGCGACGAATCTGCTCCCGCACAGAGGACTTCCACAAAAGCAGCACACATATGCGTGAAGTACCCCTTAATCAAGAATACCCGCCAGCTATCATCAATTACGCCATCAAAAAAGCTGAAAATCTGGACCGCCAGATTCTTCTCAACCACCAGAAAAACGCCGACCAACACCACAACAAAAACTTGCTATTAACGTTCACGAGCAACCCACCAAACATAATGAAGGTCCTAAGAAAACACTTTAACAACTTGGAACAGAGCGTGCGACTATCCAAAATGTTCACTTCTCTTCCATGTGTGGTATACAGAAAGCTGAAAAATATAAAGGATCATTTATTAAATTCAAAGATAGGCGTGAAATCTCAAAGTGGGTGTAACCCTTGCGGAAAAAGCAGGTGCAAGGTATGCAAACACAGGCAGACAACGACAGTGGCGAAAAGCACCCACTCGGATTTTAAGCACAGGATAAGAGGTGCACTAGACTTTCACTCAGACACCGTCATATACCTCCGGGAATGTGGGGTATGTAACAAGCAATACGTGGGCTAGACAGACACTCCGTTTAGAATTAGTATCAACCACCACCGGGCACAAGTACAATCCCTGCCAGGTCTTCCACTTTCAAAACACAGCACATTAAAAGACCATAGCTTTGATGACATCAGGGTTACACTATAAGAAAACAATTTTCGAACAATCAGAGAACGGGAACTATGGAAATCTTATTTTATGTACAAATTTAACACGATAAAATACGAAATAAATGAACACCCAGGCACTCTGTCAGCGTTACGATCACTAAAGACGCAAACGCTTCTCTCTAATCAGTCCTTTCTCATTACGACAATACTATTACCCGCTAAGAAAGCGTTTAGTTTATGCATCTGACAATATTGAGATGGTTTGCTCCTTCAAGGACAGCTGGAACGCACAGATAAGCGGTCCCGGTTGTCATACAGTCCCCCCGCTTTTTATGATTTATTTATTTTTTTTTAATTTTAACCCACATTTTCTGTTCCTCACTGACAGGAGCCATTTCATATAATGAATATCGATGGGGGTGCCACAATTACCGGCTTTTCCATTCCTCCCGACGTCAACAGCACGCACTCGAAGCGCTTAATATCTCCCCACCAATTTGTCCTAAACTTCAAAGAGGAACGAGCCGCCAGCGGATTACACGGGTAGGTGAAATACAAGAACAGTGGCACACTGCTCTCTAGGGGAATAGTAGGTGCGGGGGAGAAATTGTTGACAACGGTGGCATTGCTCGTCTACCTCCACCCTACTCTGTTGAGATGATGCCCCTTTCTAATTTCAACGTGTCGGTCTTGCTTCTTTACCTAGATTTTCTATACTTCTTTTACTCCCCCCCCGTTTTGTTGTTTGTTTTTTTTTCCTTTTTTTCTTTTTAATTTTCTTTTGACCCCTTCCCTCCGGTCTCGACAGGCTATAAGAAGACACCGAACATGTGTAAATATTATTATGCCTTGAAAAGACGGGGCTCCCATCGAAACGTCAGCAGCATAAACAGTTGTTAAGTGAAAACGCATCTACTTTCATATATATATATATATATATATATATATATATATATATATATATATATATATATATATATATATTGTTACGGGGGAATAAAGTATACACAATGAATATACTGGCGAGCAAATGCGTACAACGCTGCTGCAGTCCAAGCACGTTTCTCACAGTACTTAGTCATCGTCAACCTCAGGCATGTACTTAGCCCGTGACTTACCCGCCGGCCCGCCGGCGGCAGAAGCACCGTCCCGGTGCGATCAATTATCTGGGCGTGAGTAGTATGCTTTAAGCCGTGAGACGTGCACTATATCGGTGGGACTGAAGCTGGTACTGACGTGGTATGGAGTGGAGCTATCTTATAGGTCACGCTGGTGACCTTGCGTATGACGCGGTAGGGGCCAACGTAACGGGACATCAGTTTTTCGCAGAGACCAACACGACGTGATGGTAACCACAGCAAGACGAGCGACCCCGGAGAGTACTGTACGTCGCGGTGCCGGCGATCGTAAGCACTCTTTTGGTTAAGCTGCGAGGCACATAAACGCTCCCGGGCGACTTGGCGGGCGATGTCAGCTCGGGCCAGGGCATCACGAGCGTAAGCAGTCGATAAGGGGGCGTCAGATTGGAGCATGGTGTTCATGGGCAAAGGCGGGTCATAACCAAACAGTAGGTAAAAAGGTGAAAATCCAGCTGTATCGTGACGTGAACTGTTGTATGCGAAGGTATCGAAAGGTAAGCGGATGTCCCAATCTTTGTGATCTTTGGAGACGTACATCGCTAACATATTCGTCAGGGTACGGTTGAGGCGTTCCGTGAGGCCGTTGGTTTGTGGGGGGTACGCTGTAGTGAACTTGTGTTGGGTAGAGCAGGATCGCA